GTGAAATTTTTAAAGTTGACATTATCTTAGTGATCATACCTTAACAGAAATTAGAATAATTTTTGAGAGCTGTGAATTCTTAAGTTAATTTCTTTACATGTGGGTTGTAGCGAGCCTTTTGCCACTTCCACAGAGTGCTCGCGCCCCCTGCTGGCACTTATTGGAACGACAGCCTCCTAATCAATAGGCTTTGGTTTCCTCCTGAAGTTCATCCCATGGAATTTGCGACCATCTTACCCACTTGAAGTTGTTTATCCTTATGATCTCAGATAGTAAAACGGAGTTGGAATTATTCTATCAATGATACTTGGAATATGAAAGCCAGAATTTTTAGATGATCCTGAATTACTGCATTTAAGTACATTTTAATAAATGAGGTTTAAAATTGTTGCTTATGGTAAGCAAATGACATTTGGAAAAGCTATGCTGGCCATTAAAAGCCAAAGCACTTGAATCACAAGGGAAAAGTACAACAGGTAGCATAGAAAGAAACTCAGATGCATGCCTACAATCATTTTGTTTCGGAGGTAACTACTTCCTGGACTCACAGTAGTCTGTCTCTGAAAAGTAAAGCAGTGTCTCAGATGAGGATTTGGCTCAGAACCTCACTTCTCAGGGCTGTATCACTTTGAGAATTTATCATTTGGGGCATTGGCAGCAGGTGTTTGAGGTTTTCACCAGCTGTGAAATTGAGAAACCCCAGTGAGTGTGAAACAAATAGAAATTTCACAATGAAGATTTATTTCATTTCTGCACTGGGGCCCCTGAGTACAGTTTTTTTTTTTTTTCAAGCGTTTTCCTTCCACATTAAATACACCCATCTGTTTGGTGGAAAAAAATTTAAAACAATTGATGTCCAGGACCCTGGAGAGAAGGGAAATGTGAACTTTGGTGTTTTGAGAAGGCTGGACTGTCTGAAGCCTCTTGGCTCGTGACTCTTAGGTACCCTAATTGGAATGGGGATCGGGGTGCTTTCTGGAGGAAGTCTCCATTGGGAGGGGCCAGCCCTACTGGTTCATGCTGTTCCCAGCTCTGGCTGCAGCACAGGTGGTTGCAGCTGAAACAGTCGGAGCCCAGTTGTGGTGCTAATTACCAGGTGGTTTCAGTCAGTTCAACAAATCTGTTACTTCATGAGCCAGTAGTGGGTTCTCCTGGAAAAGGGGCCAGTGTTCCTTGTCAGTCAGACAGGCAAAGTTCTCAGAGATAGCACCTTAATAAATCTCATCCAGACTGCCAGCCAGATTGTCACCCAGGAGCCAGGATAGAGGATTATTTATTTATTAATGAGACAGGGTCTTGGTCTGTTGCCCAGGCCAGAGTGCAATGGTGCCATAGCTCACTGCAACCTCAAACTCCTGGGCTCAAGCAATCCTCCCTCATCCCCTGTAGCTGGAACCACAGGCTAGCCTAATTTTTTAATTTTTCTTTCTTTTTTTTTTTTTGTAGTTTTTGTCAGGGCTGGGTTTGAACCCACCACCTCTGGTCTATGGAGCTGGCACCCTACTCCTTGAGCCACAGGCACCACCCCTAATTTTTAAGTGTTTTATAGAGCTGGGGTCTCGCCATGTTTTCCAGGCTGGTCTTGGACTCCTGGGCTCAAGTAATCCTTCTGCTGCAATTTACCAAAGCGGTGGGCTTATAGGTATGAGCCACCACACCTGACCCAGGATGGGGAGTTAAAGGATAAACATGCCCCTAACTGAAAGCCCAGAGCTTAAAAAATAATGAGCTGTCATTTCTGTACTTGCACAGAGGGATTCCAGCATCTTCTCTTTCCCTATTTAGTTTTTCTCAGCCTCCTTTTGTTTGGTCTTTAAGCATGTTTACATTTCCAAGGAGCGGCTGTTTGGCTTCCATTTAGAAACATAAAAACAGAGGAAGCAGTATGGCTCTGTGCATTTCCACAAATGTAATGGAACCACCATACTCAGTAGTCTCAGTGCCACTTGGCCCTCAAGCAGCTCTCTCCTGTGAGGCCCCTACCTAGGAACCAGCTGGTTGTTGGTCCTGCCTGTGATCAGGCTGAGGCTACTACCCCAGGGCAAGTTGGAGCAGACACCTAATAAGGGAACTAATGTTTGTCATCTGTCTTCTCTGATGCAAGCTTGTTTCATCAGCAGCCAGCCAGTGACTATCAGGTCCCTTGTGTGTGGCAAGCACTATGCTGGTTGCTGGTAATAGAGCCCAAGACACCTCCTACCTTCACATTCCCACAGGGGACCTGGGGAGACCCATAGGTTACTGTGCAGAATGTGAAGGCTGCAGAAGTTCAGATGGGTTATCTGGGGGCCCAGAGGCAAGACCAGTTCCCACTGTCAAAGAGCAGGTGGCCCTCACCAGGGTGGGCTTTTCTTGCACTCAAGCCTAGAGGTGGGCAGCGCTATGCAACTGTGTGTGGGTCATGTTGGCTGGTGGGGCTGGCATGAGGGTGTGTTTCACAGGACACAAAGCTAGAAGAGTGGGCTGGAGTCAGGGCCAGGAGGGTCTGTGCACCAAGGTAAAGTACTCACACTGTTTCCAGAGGCCAGACCAGGTACTCCTGCCTGTTTCCCTTTACTTCAATCAGGAGAATGGGTTGCAAGGCAGATAGTGTTGCCAGGCAAATAAAAGGCAGGACACAAAGGAAGTTTGAATTTCAGATAAACAGCAAAAAAATTTTAGTGTAAGTTTGCATTGTTCATTGTTTACCTCAAATTCCTGTTTAACTACACATCCTGGACCTTACTTGCTAAATTTGGCCACACTGAAGGAAGATACAGCCAAATGTATTTATCTTAATAAATGTTACCCTTGGAGGTTATAAATCTGATCGAGAGTGGAACATTGTTTAAAATCAAAGAAGTAGCCAAAGGTGAAGATAGAAGAATTAGAAACTTCTGGATTTGTAAATTGTTAAATTATGCTTTATTTCTTATGAAAAGGGGGTAAACATCCTATATATGTCGACTGTACAAGCGGCCAGTCTTCCCATAAAATTGTGTCTCCAGAATATAAAAATACAACTACCGTGTCATAGATTTAATCCATTTGAAACTAGTATTCTAGCTGTAATAGGAGTTGAAACATAATAGTAGTTTTGCTTGTCTTAGAATAAAGAAGCACTTTGTGGAGATGGGGATAAGTTATATAATTGTCTTCACTTTCACTTTAAAAACAACTGTCTGAGAATTTTGAATTGCTTCTCTTTTCCTTTCTAGACTTTCCCATAGTGAGCAGAGGATCAAAGCATTTTGGTGCAACGAGTGGTGCACATATGTATAAGGGGACACACACACATATAAATTACAATACATAACATATTTGAAATTCTGTGCAAGAAATTTCGGACTTAAATGCAGGAGACATGTGACTCCTGGGTGGACGTGATCTCCCTGTGAGATGGTGTCAAGCCCGTTCATATGCCACATTTTGCACCAACCTTGGACCTCAGTGCATCCAGACACTCTCCTTCTCCCTTATTTGGAGATGGAGAAGTTGTTTGTCTCATACTTGTTTCATAATTAAAAAAACAGTTATATATGGAAAAAAAAAGAAAAAAGAAATTTAAGATTTAGGTAAGAGGTACCCAGAATTTCATTCTGTTTTTCTTCCTGTTCCTCCTGGTTTCCCCCAGCATGCAGGGTGGTGGGGAAAGGCTGGGACAGAGGGTGGCCTAGGCCCTTCCCCTGGGGAGGGCCATCATTTAAGCTTGGGTGTATACATGAGCCTCAAGGATGGAGGCCTGCCTGGGGGTTTCCAGTGGGTGAGTCACAGTCCACCTGCCACCTCTATGACTCTTGCTTTGTGAGTGACTGGTTGCTTGGGTTCTGTATGGCTGAGGAGGGTGCAGTGGGCACGACCAGTCAGCCAGACACCTGGGTACCAGGTGGGCCAAGCAAAGGCTTGTGCTTGAGGAAGTGGAGAGAAGGGTTCCACTTTGACCCCTGTGGATCCCTCTGTAAAAGGCCCCCTGCTACAGCCCAGGCTTTCATAAATACCTTCACCCTATGTCTAGGGAGCCCATGGTGGGAATGGGTTATATGCTCTGGGCTTCTTCATTTCAATCAGTTTAGGAAATAATTTTTATTTCTCTTTAATGGACCTAGTCAATAAATTGCATGAAAAACTGAACACCCCTCTCCTCTGTCAAAGAAAGCTAAACCAGAACTTGTAAAAACTTTCAATCCTGTGACTGATAAATAGTTTGGTTATAGCTCACGGGCATGGTGACATCCTAGGTCACATGAAGTTTAGGGGAAAGGCCAGTGTTCTCAGGAACCTAACTTCCTCCATCCCTGGAAAGCGGACAGATAGAAACATACCAGGAAGGGTGAGGTTCTGCACTGCTCACGAGGGGACAGCAAACATTCCAAATCTCTCTGCCTTGAGCTATAGTGTTTTAAAAATAGAATAAATATGGCACCATCTGACAGCATTCGGGGCTTCTGGTGGTGACTGTTAATAAGCATAGACGCTCAGGTTCCTGGAAAGTGCCCTGAGGCATGCCCACTTTGGTTTTCTCCAGGCAAGAATCTGGAATTTTTCCTTCTGAACACTGCATTTACATGACTTGTCTAAATAGGGGCTCCATTTACATGGGCCTTGTGGTCTGGGCAGCTGTGGCCAGTGGGGTGAGTCCTTCCCCACGTCAGTAGGGGTGGGTAGGTCCTGGGCCAGCCTCCCCTTGCTACAGCCACCACGCTGGCAGGGGCTGAGCTCCAGCTCAGACCATTCCCCTCAGAGGGATCTTACCCCTCTCTTCCCCTCAGCCTACTGTCTCCCTTTCAGATTGACAGCACAGATTGACTCCAGCACAGACCTAAATCACTGGGTAGCTGAAACTTCAAATGAGGTTTACAGCAGGACTTTCAGACAGGGCTTTATGTCCCTGAAGGCGAGAGAGCATCCTCACACATCATTATGGAGGAGGACGCCGGGGGCTCGGGCGTCCCGTGGTTGTGTATTTTATTGAGAGCACATTTCCTGGCCTGCATTTTTGATTTTGGGCATTTCTGTCTTAGGACTGGTTGCCATAAAGGATGCCCAGGACATAGAAACCAGGCTTAATGAGGTGGAGAAGCTGCTGAAAACCATCATAAGCATGCCGTGTAAGGTGAGCGGGTGGGCGGGAAGGGGAGATGGCTGGCAGGGCAGAGATTTAAACAATGTCCATTCCCCCATGTTACTGAGCTGCTTGCTCCTTATCTCTTAATAGGGATGAGGCAGATGCCATCAGGGAAAGGGGAGCCTTTTGTGAACTCCAGTTGCTCTGTTTTTTCTCCCTGATAAAACTAGGATGTGTTGAGTCAGAAGGGATGTCGGGTCCCTCTGGCCACAGAGGTCTTTGCTTTCTCGGCTCTGCTCACAACCCTCTGCTCCTGCAGAAGGGATCTGAGAGCAGGCACGTGGGAGCCAGGCAGAGTGTGGGCGGGACCAGCAGGTGAGTGATGCCACAGAGATTCGGCCATCATCTCCCTTTTAACTTTGTGAGCTTTGGAGTGAGTAGCAATTAAGAAGCTGGAGTGGGGAGCCCAGCAGACCTACTTACCTGCTTTAAGTTTCCTCTTCCTTATCTGGGAAATGGGGGAAATAGATAGACATGGCTCACCATTATTTGCAAAGATGAAGGGAGATGTGAGTGGAATGCTGTCACATACATTGCCATTTTTGCCACTAAGCACCCCCATCCCAGGCGGCCTTGTGTTTTTGGCCTCCTAGGACCCTAAAAGCATGAGAAGTGTGCAGTGATTGTGGCCTCACTCGTGCTGTCAACCATCAGAGCTTCTGAGCAGTTCATTGGGCATTGGGGTCAGACGGGGCTCTGGGGTGGCAGTCGTGTCCCCTTCTAGGCAAACAGTGGGGGCCAACTTGTGGGTGTTATTCATTTTTAGTAATGACTGTATTTCTTCCCAGTTTTCTAGGTCAGAAGTTGTGCTTACCTTCTTTGAAAGATCTCCTCTGGATCAGGTGTTAAAAAATGATAATGTACATAAAATTCAACCCAGCTTCCAAAGTCCAGTCAAAATATCAGGTAAGAGCTGCTGTAAAGGTGTAGGGGGACTGCTGGCGATGGCTGTGGTGACAGAATTCTTCCCAGGGGAGATGTCTACATGGTGGGGCACATCCACCTCTGGGCTCCAGAAAGATAATCCATCAGAATTGAGAACACAGAGGGAGGGAGACTGTCACCCCAGTTCTATGAAGCAGCATGCTTTCAACCTGAGCGCACACTCTCCGTACATCCAAAGGGACTGATCTGGCATATGTGTTGGAACTTACTTAAGAAATAGTATCACGATGGAACCATTGACAAGGCATTCAGAGGGGAAGTACTGGAATCAGTTCGTAGCGCAGCCTGCTGAAGTGAGAATGCACAGCGTGTTGTAGCATTGACTTTGTTTCTTGGTTTTAGTGCAACCACGATCAAAGGGAACACACACACTTTAGGTGCCTTAGTGTTGACATGGGACGGCCCCTTCTAGCCCTGAAGAGGCCAGCAGTAAGATCGACTTGTCCACAGAAAGACCTGCAGGCAGAGTGGAAGGGAAGGAAGGCCACCTTCCCTTCTTGGCTAGTCAAAGTTGGGTGACTTCTTGAGATCTGGGTTGCGTATGTCATGAGTACACTTGTTCTTCATGGTGCTGTTTTGGTAAAGGCTGCTGAGGACCCTTTTGTAGGAAAAGGGCTCTGTCCTGTGAGTCTCCAGGACTGGAATTGCCCAAGCAAGGGGCAGCCACCTTGTGACCTAGAGGTGACATTTGAGTGAGATCTTGTTGGGGTTTGATGATGGTTAAGAGAGGGGAGGCAGTTGTAAGAGGAGACACAACTTGGCCATGGAGAGCGCCTGTGTAGAAAGGAGGGGGGAGGGATCCTGCGTCCATCATTCCATTTCTGAATGGAGGGAGTGAGGAGAATCTGAAGATGTCGGTGGAAAAGAGTTGGCAGAAGAGAAGGGTGTGAGCCCCTCACAGTCTACTAAGAAGGAACGTGGAAGACAGTTCCTAATTTAGAGCTCAGGGGAACTGAACAGGGTGGGCAGGTTCTGGAACCTGGAACGGAAGAGGTGTTTGTACCTCTGCTGTCGTGTGTGCGGTGCAGGTCTTCTGCCTGGGCGTGTCTGTGGTTGCTGACTTTTATTTTCTTTACTTTTTTTTGGTTTTATTTTCATTGACCCATCACGGTTATAGATACATGTGGGTACAGTGTGATGTTTCAAGGCATGTATGCATTGTGTAAAAATCAAGTCAGGATATTTACCATATCCATCACTATTATGTCTATTGTTTCCTCGTGGTGAGGATGTAGAATCCTCTTCTAGCTATTTTGAAATACATCATACAGTACTGACCATAGTCACCTTCCTGTGCAGTTGAACACCAGAACTTACTCCTCCTGCCTGTAACCTTGTACCTGTGGACTAGCTTCTCACTATGCCCCCCTTCCCTCCCCAGCCTCTGAGAACCACTGTTCTACTCCCTACTTCCACCATCTGAGTGTCTCAGATTCCACACATGAGTGAGATCACGTGGTATTTCTTCTGTGCCTAGCTCAGTTAACCTAGGTTCATCTGCGTTGCCCCAAATGACAGGATTCCATTCTTTTTTTATGGCTGAATAATATTGCAGTATTCCTTTGCTATATACTACCTTTTCTTTATCCATTCATGTGTTGATGGACTTAGGTCGATCTGGCTTCTGTGGGTAATGCTGTGGTAAACTTGGGAGTGCAGATAAGTCTTTGACATCCTGACTTCATTCGCTTTGGATATATACCCAGTAGAGGGATTACTGGATCATATGGTAGTTCTATTTTTAATTTTTTGAGGAAACTCCATACTGTTTTCCCTAATGGTTACAATAATTTACATTCCCACCAACTGTTGGGAATGTAAGTAACAGTTACACTTTTTCCACCTTTTTGTCAGTATTTATTTTCCCATCTTTTGGATAACAGTAGTTTTAACAGGTAGAAAGTAGTATCTCCTTGTAGTTTTGGTTTGCATTTCCCTGGTCATTAGTGATGTTCCGCATTTTTTTCATATACCTGTTGACCATTTGCAGTTGTCTTTTGGAAATGTCTGTTCAGAGGGTTTGCCTATTTCTTAATCAGATTATTTGGTTTTTTACAGTTGAGTTGCTTGAGTTCCCTGTGCATTCTGGGTATTAGCCACTTGTCAGGTACATGGTTTGCAATACTTTCTCCTGTTTTACAGGTGGCCTTATTTATTTTTTGCAGTTTTTGGCCAAGGCTGGGTTTGAACTCGCCACCTCCGGCATATGGGGCCGGCACCCTACTCCTTTGAGCCACAGGAGCCCCCCTACAGGTGGCCTTTTCATTCTTTTGATTGTTTCCTTTGCTGAGAAGCAGCTTTTTAATCCCATTTGTCTTTTTTTCCTTTGTTGCCTGTGCTTTGGGGCTCTTATAAAAGAGGCTTTGCCCAGACCCCTGTCATTAAGCATTTCCCCTGTGCATTCTTCTGGTAGTTGTATTGTTTCAGGTCTCACATTTAAGTCTGTAATCCATTTTGAGTTGACTTTTGTGTCTGGTGAGACAGAGGGGTCTAGCTTCATCTTCTGCGTATGGATACCTACTTTTCTCAGCACCATTTATTGCAGATGGTGTCATTTCTCCATTGTCCATCCTTGACATCTTTGTTGAAAATCAATTAGCCGTAAGTGCATGGATTTATTTTTGTGTTCTCTGTTCTGTTCCGTTGGTTTATGTGTCTGTTTTTAAGTCAGTATTGTGCCGGTGCACTGCTATAGCTTTGTGGTGTATTGAGAAGTTAGAGAGTGTGATGTCTCCAGCTTTGTTCTTTTTTCTAAAGACAGCTTAAGTATTCAGAATCTTTTGTGGTTTCACATGCATTTTAACACTGTTTTTTCTATTCTGTGAAGAATGTCATTGGTATTTTGATAGAGATTGCATTGAATCTGTAAATCACTTGGCTGGTTTGCTGCTTTTGATATCTACCCAAGGTATCTTCTCATGTGATCCCTGTCATCTTAGAGACAAGAGCAGGGAGTACAGGACCCTCTAGGCTGGCACCTAGTCTCCAGAACCTTCTTTTTGTTGTTGTTGTTTTGAGATAGAGTCTCACTATGTCTCCCTCGGTAGAGTGCTGTGGCATCACAGCTCATAGCAACCTCAAACTCCTGGGCTCAAGTGATTCCCTTACCTCAGCCTCCCAAGTAGCTGGGACTACTGGCACCCATCACAACTCCCGGCTATTTTTTGGTTGCAGTTGTCATTGTTGTTTAGCAGGCCAGGCCAGGCTTGAACCTGCCCCCTTCGGTGTATGTGGCTGGTGCCCTACCCACTGAGATACAGGTGCCAAGCCATCCAGAACTTTCTCTATAAGAGACTGAAAATGGTTCTGTTGTTTATCCATGGAGCCTACTTTGATAGGGCTCATGGAATGTTGTGAAATCCTAATTGTCTGTGGGATCAGGTTTCACATTCCCTAACCAAGAGTGGGGAAGCCTCCGTTCCTTACTCTGAGTGGGAAGAGGATAGCATCAGTGGCTCTGTTTTGGGCAAATGAGAAGGCAAAGCACAGAGGATTCCTCTTAGGGCCTTGTGTTGTGAGAGGGGCTGGACCATTGCTTTGAGATGACCCAGAGGCCCCCTAGTGTGAGGACAGACTAGCACTGCATAGAGTTTCCTCTGATCAATTAACTCCTGATGGTACAACAACCCAAAGCACCCCCCAGTCCTCCGCCTTCATACTCTGTTTTTATCTGTGCCTTGGACGAACACATAGCCTGTGTGTGTCCTAAAGGATAAATGGAGAGTACCAAGTTGCAGTTTTAAGTATGTTCTCTTTGCCTGTTTGCAATCATACAGGGCAGGTTTTAGCCTGCTGCTATCTGTGGTCTTCCAAGATGACTGGGGAGCTGTTCTCTTATGTAGGTGGAGACCCTAGGTCATGTGGGGTGTTGAGCCTGCCCCAGCAATATCACAAGAGGAGTCATTGCATCCACAGAATAGGACCTGGGATGGGGAGGACCCTAGGTCATGTGGGGTGTTGAGCCTGCCCCAGCAATATCACAAGAGGAGTCATTGCATCCACAGAATAGGACCTGGGATGGGGAGAAGTCAGAAAGTGGGCAGATTTGTGGGACAGTGGTTGGCAGGAAGAGGATGCCACCCTTAGGTGCTGGCCACTATGGGAAGTAGGTCAGTCGGAGGGTGGCACAAGGCCCATGAGTGGACATGACTGTGGCCGACTTTGGCTCAGAATAGAACCTTCTAACAACCGGGGTTGCCTAACCATGCAGCCCATACAAGGCCTGTGGCTGAAAGTCTCAGTGCAGACTGGGGGCTGTTAGTAGTGTTGCTTCAGGAGGCAGCAAGTAGGGGGACAGACTACAGCTTCCCAGCGCTGAGTATCCCCAACTTCTCTGGGTGCTTTCTTCTCTGCTCTGTGTGGTGGGTCTCTGGGTTCTCCCTCTGAGCCCTGCAGACCCTGCTGTGTCTGCTCCCAGGCTGGCTGGCCCTCTCCAGGTCAGAGGCAGGGCCTCCTAACTTAGATCAGCGTGTACAGGGCTCGTAGTGAGGAGACGTGCTCGCCAGGTGCAGGAGGAACTTTATCACTCACAGAGTGAGAAGTACCTTCAGGCGGGTGGATTACAACAGCTTCAGGGATACTTTTTAAGGAAACTGCTGTTTAGAGTAGCACCGACGTTCCTTTGAGAAAATAGTTCTTGCACAGACACAGGTTGTTGTTATCAGTCTTGGCCCCATGTCTGTGTGTTTGTGGATTTGTGGGTCCGGAGAGCCCTCGGCCACCTGGGTCTGTCCACACAGGTGCCCTGCCCTTTCTCCAGAATGTACACCTGAGTGCTGATCATCCCCAAACTGGCTTCTGGGGGTTGTTAATTTTCTTAAAACCTTACCCTCCGGATAAAGCCCGATTCCCTTAGTCATTCTGTGAGTACCAGACTCGGGCCCATGCTAGCCTTTTAATTTTGTCACCTGCACCCCAGACCCTCTGCCTTCCCCAGTGAACTCTGGGCGTCCGTTGCTGGTGCTGTGGCCCTGCAGGATCTTTCAAGCGAACCCCGCCTGTCCGTTTCTGCTCTGGTTAGTGCCAGTCCCTCCTGGAAACACCCTGCGGCGCTGAGACCCACACCTACTCTACGTGTCCGTTTTATGTGCCTTCTCGTCCTGCTGAGGACATGGCATTTGGGGAGGCGGTGTGTGATGGCAGGGACACTGAACGTCAGGACGTAGGCATGCCTGCACACTGATTCTGCGTGCCTCCACTTCCCCTTTCGGAAGTTCCAATAGTTTAGTGGTCAGGGCCTCCACTAGATGGCGCCAGGCGCTAGCTGTCTGAGGATCATGCCACCATCCCGGGGTCACGGCAAGGACGGGCACCAAGGACTGCGGCCTCTGTAATGCTTTGGACCAGCTCAGCCTTAACCATTCTTCATCCCCATGTGTTAATCTAAATGCTTATCAAATGTAAGAAATTCTAAATTAGTGTGTTCTGCATCGTGGCTGTGGCTGTGCAGCATAAAATGGAATGCAAACCTCGGCCTTGATCTGGCCGCTTGGGCTCATCAATTTCAGTCACAAAATCCGATGGTCCAGATTTGGGCGGTGCTGGAAATGAATTATAATTTTATTTTTCATCAATGTAGTATGCATATAATCTTAGCCATAATTTTTACTATACAAGGATAGACCAGTTAGCTGATTAAAAAGGCCCTGCTTTGGGTTTTGTTCTGCTGCTGAAGTACATTAAAAAGATAATAGAAAAGAGGATTTGAAAGGGAGAAAAGCTATCTAACGATGCTTTCAAGGCTGAGACTAAATGTCTGCTGAAGGAAGGCACAGAGGAATTACTGAAATGAAGGGCTGGGAGCAGGCATGGGGCACCTGAAGGCACAGTTGCAGTTAGAGAGAGAGAAAAATCACCATCAGGCGAGCAGGCACCATGGTAATTATTGCCCCCTCCCCAGAAAAGATCCAATGATTGGTAAATGCCAAGATTAGTAGGTGAAAGTTTGAAGTGAAACAGGATTTGCACAGCCTCAAGGCATCTTCCCCCAAGAAAGGGAAAGATGGTAACCTGGCTTTGGAGACAGCTGGGAGAAGGTGATTCGGGCCAGCATCACCAGTCATGGGGCTCTAGACATCACATACACTCCCCAGCATGCTTCACTGAGCTGGACGCAGCGTCACTATGCAGAGTCCCTGCCAAAAATGTATTGCCTCGATCTAATCACTTGGAAACCTCAAACAAACGCGAATTGACGGACATTGCTAAAATAGCTCCCCAGTCCTTGTGGAAAGTGTTTTGTTCAGGAGGGACCAGGAAAGACAGAGGACCCATCGAGGTTGGAGGAGACCAAAACACAACCCCTCAATGCCATGAGGGACCCTAAAGTATGTTCTTAACAGGAAAAAGGGACATTAGTGGGAAAACCAGTGAAACACTAGTAAAGGAGTATTATGCCCATGTTAATTTCCTGGATTTGATCGAGATACCACAGTCATATAAAATGATAACATTAGGGGAAGCTGATGAGGGGTATACAGGATCTCTCTTCACTGTGTTTACAACTTTCCTGTAATTCTAAAATTAGCCCCCAATTGAAAGTTTAAAAAGATGAGACAGGTAAAGCAGGGGTCTTGTTTAGGTAAAAACCACCAATGTTAAAATGTGGCTTGAAAATAAAGTATTTCATGGAATCTGTTATGTATGTGATTAAAGAATTACATTGGCCATTAATTTTTACTGTGAGCACTAAAACTGACTTCTGAGAAATTCACACATAGAAGTATGGCTTCAGATGCTAGAATTTTTCTTAGTTGTAACATTTTCTTTGGATCTTATTCATGTCACAGCAGATTTGTGGTTATCAGTAATGATTGTAATCACTGCTGTTTATTGATTACTGAGCCCCCTGCCCAGCGTATGTTGGATTCTTTACACATAGAATCTCACTGAGTCTACACCCATGCCCTTTAGGAAAATACTGTTATTTCCATGTTATAGATGAAGAAGCTGAGCAAGAAGTAATCTGTCCCCAAACATGAGTGGCAGAGC